CCCTCGCCTGAGAGGGAGGGGGAGAAGCAGAGCGGCGGCATGCCTGGGGGAGCAGGTGGAGCGGAGGTGAGCTAGGGCGGGAGGTCGCTGGGTTCCCGCAGGAAGCAATGGCGGGGGGGGGGGGGGGGGATGAGGGGGGCCGGGGGGGGGGGGGGGGGGGGGGGGCGGGGGGGGGGGTTGAGAAGGGGGGGGGTTGGGGCAGGGGGGCACAAAAAAAAGGGGGGGAGGCCAAAATATTTTTTGCTTGGGGTGGCAGAAATCCTAGAGCCGGCCCTGCCCTCTCCAAGGGTTGCAGCTGTCTGGAGGTGCTGCCTTCCACGCCTTCCTCATTCACACCTCATTCATTCAACAGGGCAATTGATCTTCCCCCCACTTTGTAATCTTATTCTACTTCTAGCAAACAGACATTTTTCTTTTACCTTAATTATACTACCTTAGGGGCCCGCTATAACAAATTACCGAGGTTCAATACTGCTGTTTCGGTGGGGCGGCGCTGGGGATGGGGGGGTTGTTTCCGTGGGGCAGGCGGCGCTGGGGTGTGTGTGTGTGTGTGTGTTGTTTCAGGGGGGCGGGGTTGGTGGCGCTTGGGGGGTTTCGGCCCTCAGCTGTTTTCTTTGGAGTAATATGGCCCTTGCCGCTTTCCGAGTTGTGCGGGCCTGGGTTGGCAGAATCCAGGGGCAGCCTGCGAGCTGCCTGTGCTGGTTCTCAGGGAATTCGCCCTCGGACCCAGCTGTGCCGTAGCCTTGCCTGGGGCTGGGCAGCCGGCACTGCGATAGCCGGCCCATGTCTGGGCTCCCGGGGGAGCTGCCTGGAAAGCAGAAAGACCTGGGCCCAAAGCAGGGCTCTTTTCAGCTCCTCCAGCAGGCGGAGCAGTGCTGGGGCCAGGCGCAGGCCCAGCCACGAGGGCAGGGGCTGGAGACCCCGCGTGTGATGCTCCAATGGCCCATCGTCCTCTCCTGCAGACCAAGTATGACTTCACCTCCTGCCGGGGCGTGCTGATCGTCTGCCTGGTGGTGCTGATCCTCTTCTCCATCCTGTGTATCTTCATCCGGAACCGCATCATGGACATCGTCTACGCCTCGCTGGGAGCCCTGCTCTTCACCTGCGTGAGTATCTGCCGGGGTGGGGGCAGCGCCACCACACTGTCTCCTGCAGATCCCTGCCCAGCGTGGGGAAGGCCTGGGCTGGAGCTGAGTGGGCAGGAGCCAGGGCGCTCGGCCTAGGGGCTCGCCAGGGCCTCAAAGGGGACAACTCTGCCTGATGAACCCCTCCCCCATGGGGATGTGGCTGCCTCACCATGGCTGAGAAACCAAACCCGCAGGGTCACGGGCGCTGCGCCCCTCGGGCCTTAAAATCCACCCTCTCCGGCTGCTGGTCCGCTATGGCCACCGTGTCCCTGTGCCCCTGGGGGAGCGCGTTGCTGGAGGGTAGGCCTGGAGCTGTGCCGTGGGGACAGCTCTAGAACTGGTGGGAGCTTCAGACCCTCAGCGTGGCACCACCTGGGAGTTTGTTCCTGCTCCTGCCTAGTCCCAGCTGGAACCCGGCTCCCCCTGCCCGGGGCAGGGGGGGCATGAACACCAGGTCCCAGTGGCAGCTGTGGGACCAGGCATCACGCCTGGATAAACGCCCCTGTTCTTGAGATGGCCCCTTCCCACCCACCAGCCGCAGTGGCCAAGTCAGAGCTCTCGCTCACAAGCCAGAGAGCCCTGTCTGGGCCGGCACTGGGACCCGCGCCCATATCTAGAGCGGGAGGGGCTCAGAAAGGGAGGGAGGGCTTGGCAGGGCGGTGTCAGCCCCTCCCCTTGGATCACCCAACCCCCAGTGCTCTGCCCCTGGGCATGGCACTGTCCATGCCCCTCCATCCTGGCAGCACTTCCAGAGCACCCCGTGTGCAGGGGGGAAAGAGGCACAGCCTGGCACAGACCATCCCTCCTGCCATGCCATGTGCAGCGCTGTGAGCCCTGGGTGTGCAGGACAGGGGGGCTGCATTCTCCCCCTCAGCTCATGGCCTGGAGCTGGGTACCTGGGCATGGTCCATGCTGAAAGCGTGCTGCTGCAGCAGGCCTGGTGCCAGGCCTGGCACCCTGTGTCACGGAGTCCCCGGGCGAT